AGTAAGGCTGTTTGCTGTGCAAGCAACTGAACAGAGAAGAGGAAGTGGCTGGGATCCTGCTCCAGCTTTATTTTGAGCTTTTGACTGTCCTGTCCAGAGAAAATGGGGTAAGCATCTCCCATCCTGGAGGGGTTGCAATGGGTCATCCTTAACTGGTGGCTTTGTTATGAGGAGCATGGAATTAGTGGGCACTTTCTTCTAGAGCAAGATGGCTGAAGGGCAAAGTTTGAAATGAACAGCTCAATTCCAGCCTTATAACCTAAAATGCTCCAAAGAAAATTCAGTTCGAGGAGGATGAGCCCTCGTAAGACTGAAACATTTTTTTTTTTTTTTGCAAGGGGGTAGATGCAAATGTTTTCAGGAATAATACAGAGGAAAAACTTTCTGGAGAAGAACAGATGGGAAATGTAGACAGCTATTATTTAACACAATGAAAAAAGCATCATGGTGGAGGTTGCGCTTAAGACCCAAGATGTGTAAGGAATTTGAGACCTGAGCTGACAACATAATTGCACTAGCTTTTGAATTTACCAGAAGCCTATTTCATGAAAACTGCAGCCAGTCTCCGTGCTTGTTTTATGAAATACAGTTGCATTTGTGGAAGATCCAAGCAGTGCTGCTATGTGGAAAAGCAAATCATCTCAAAGATGTTTACTTCTGCATGGAAATATTCCCAGACAAAGGAGTCAAACCCTCTCCCTAGAAAGACTAAATTCAGTCATTTTGTTCTGTACAATATTTTGCTCTTTTCTTATTTTGACAGTCTTCATACTTGTAACCACTAAAATTTATCCTCTTTCTCCCATTCTTTATGCACACTGTTTGTTTCCCAAGGCAAGTGGCATGCAAAGTCATCTTGTATTTAAAGTACTTCCACTTAAACTTTACAGTAAGATTGGGAGTAAGATATTTTGAACTTTGTGATAAAATGTTTTAGCAGCTGTTGCTGTAAAGACTTAAATATGCTTCCAGTTTTCTTTCACACAGGTATCTCATCAACTTGGAGGTAATTGAATACCTGCAGGATACAGTAGGTATGATAGCATTTTATTTGGTATTAATGATTTTACTGGAACATATAATTACTGGAATGGTTGTGTACTCCTTGGCATTAGTGTACATGAAAGAGTGTGCTCTGTGAAATGGGAGCACAGCTCTAAAAACCCCCTAGACTTAATAATATTTCTTTGCAAAGCAAATGAGTGAACCTGTGCCTGCCAATTAAATTGTATTGTGGGTGGAATAATTAATTTGGACACAAGGCAAGGAGAACATTGCATTTATTGTTTTTATTTTTATTTTTATTATTATTGGTGGCTGGGGAGCGCCCAGGTTAACATTGTATCTGTTTTCCCTGCTTTACACCCTTGTGCATGGCATGGATGCAGCAGTTTTCTTCTACAGAACCTCCCCCTCACCAAACAATCAATTCTGGGATGTGTCTTTTCTTTTAAGTGTGTGTGGGGAGTGTCTTTACAAGTAGCAGTTTTCTGTTATTGCACAGACAAGCTTTTCCCCCCCAGATTCTAACTCAGAACAGATAAACTTATGCTTCTCCTCAAGTGAATGCTGAAATCCACCATCAGTCAGCAAAACTGAAGTGACAGTGATTTCTGTACATTTAAAGGCATTGGTTATAGTTTTGCTCAGTCACAGCCAGAATGAGGAAAACATTAACACAATGACTGGTGCAGTTCAGAGCTGGTGATGTAAAGGTACGCTGTGACGTTTGAGAACATATGTACAAACTTATTGATACACCAGTTGATATAAGCAGACCTAGAAGGAAAATAATTTTAGGTTATAGATGCCCAACATAGTAAGCAAATCACTTTCAAGTAGTAGATGAAGGGAAGTCCTGGCCACCATTGTGAAAGACACCAACTCATTAGCGGTGCAAATTTCTGACTGCCAGCACAGCAGGAAGGATAGAGGTGAAGAGCTGGCAGCTGGAGCTGGATCCCACCTTATTAAAAGGGAAAGGCAGGGATCCTGCAGTGTGAGAGTATGAGTGATGCTGTGAGAGTAAGCAGAAAAAGATGTGTGTCAGAAAAGGTGGAGCTGGGGGGAACAAAGGCTTGCTTCTTGCCTGTGCACAGGAGCGCTGCTGAGGGTGACTGACAACAACTGGTGCTTCCCCCGTCTGCCACTGACCTTCTGGTGCCCAGGAAAACCCAGGAGAAAGTTCACCTGCCTGCAGCTTCCTTGTCACTTGTGCCCTTTTACCAATAGTCACGGCAAATTACCTTCAAAGACACGAGTTCCCACAATTTGCACATGCATCCCATTCCTCCAAAAATGGGTGATTCTTCAGATACACTATTTTGTGTTACACTGTTATAAAGCTTGGCCTTTAAATTTCTCTCACTCCTTGTGCAACAATAATCCTACTTTATCAGTCAGTTGCCTTAAAACTCAGGGTATTTTGTCAGTCCACTGTAACATTATTTTTAGCACAAGCAAACAGAAACCAGACAGACTCATGATCAGTCCTTTGGGGAAACGGAGGTAGAAGGATGAAGAGAGAGGAAGAGACTTCTCCTCTTGAAGATTTTTCCTGTTAGTCACAGCACTGAGGAAAAACAAACTCCATATGGAACAGATCATGTAAGGCCTTTAAAACATATTTGGAGAGACTGTACAGTTTCTTAAAGGAACTTGGAATAGTCTGTGGTTTGGGGCTTTTGCTGCATTTCCCATTTGGGGATGTGTGTGCATTTTCATTTGTTTTAATTTGGACCAAGTTAAATGCATCAAGCAGTAGTTTGTTTTATTACCATCTTTCAAAGATCTATTCATAAAGGAAAAACATTCCCTGATTCCCCAAATGGGAAAGAGTTACAAATGCTTCTCTCCCAGTAGTTTCATCAGAGAAGTTTTGCTGCTTTTTTTCTTGCTTTTTTTCTTTTTTTTTTTCTATTGACTTGCAAATGAAGGCTAATTTTTTGTTCCCAGCACAAGACCAGAGTGTGGTGTGCTGAGGCAAGGATGTATGCTCAGCTGGATGCTGAATTCAGACATGGAGTAGGTATGTAGTGCAGGAGATCACAACCAGTGGGCTGATTTTAGTGAAGCTACTAAATCTCATTACCTTTTCCCACTTGCCCCCCTGTCAAGCAACTTTGTAGAATGCTGTTCCAGAGTATTAACTGTGGAGTCCAGCCTTCTGTGATCTGCCTTTCCTGCCTGGTAGGACAGTGATGGCTCCCAAGGAAATAGGAGTGGAGTGAGATTTACCCCATGCTGATAAGGTTCTTCAGCCAGGGGGTGGCTGGGCTCCGGAACAGGCTCCCCAGGGAAGTGGTCACAGCAGCAACCTGACAGAGTTCAAGGAGCATTTGGATAACCCTTTTAGGCACAGGGTGGGATTCCTGCGGCTGTGCTCTGCAGGACTAGGACTTGGACTTGATGATCCTTGAGAGTCCCTTCCAACTCAGAATACTCTGCAATTCCATGATAACTGTGCTGCAGTTCTGCAATGTCAATAAATGTTATGTGCAAGAACAACTGTAATTAAAACATTTGAGGTTTTTTTTTTTTCTTGAAAAGGTAATACAGTCCCACTTATTAAACACAAACTTTTGTTTAGAAATGTGGCCAAAATTAATCAATAAATGGGGTAATTTTTAAAATTCAGCACCGGTCTGAAGAATATTCAGTGCATATGTTGGGAAAGAGCTCTGGGCTTCCGAATCAATGACAGAGAAACAGACCCTGACCAAGGTGTTTTGGGGTTTTTTTGTTTGTTTGTTTGTTTAGGATTCCAATGAGAACAGGTAAGATGAGGGCAAACACTGAAACTTCCTGCTTTTCTGAATTACTGCTGTAATTACTTCTTGTGACATCTGAAAAGTATGAGCTGTTCTAACCTCTCAATTTTCCTTGCATTCCACATGCTGTGTATTAGCATGAGTAGAGGGAGAAACTGTTATAGAACAAAAGCAATACAGCTTTACTAAACGTAAAATATGGAATGAGGTTTTACAGGAAACCAAGGATTTTGTTAGGGCTCAGAGGTATAAGGAGCACTGAACATGTATGAAGAATTCAGGCTTTATTTAAGCCAGTTTTTTATCTTTTGTGTGTGTCTTTTTCATGTATTGTTTTTTAATGTTGTGTAAGTTTTAACACACCTTTCCAATGAAGATGACCCAGCAGCCTGCCACGGGGCAGGTGTAGTCTCTATCTACAACCTCTTGGAATTTGCTTTTTACGGGTCTGTATTTCGTGGCGGACTTGCCTCCTTCGCATTTTGACAATGTGGCAACTCATTTACTCATTAAGCCCTCTCAGACCTGTGAACTGAATTTCAGACCTGTGGTGGCGGAGAGGAGCCTGCGGGCAGCTCGGCGAGACGGGGACGGGGCTCGCAGCCGGGCGGAGAGGCAGTGACCTGACACACGGGGGAGGGCAGCGCTTTTCCCCTCCGTGAAAACAGTAGCGGATGGTTTTTTTCTCTTTTTTTTTTTTTTTTTTTTTTTTTTTTTTCCCCCCTTTCAAAAAAAAAAAAATGTCCCCCGCCTGAAAAAAAAAAAAAAAACAAAAAAAAAACCAA